ATATATATATATATATATATATATATATATATATATATATATATATATATATATATATATATATATATATATATATATATATATATATATATATATATATATATATATATATATATATATATATATATATATATATATATATATATATATATATATATATATATATATATATATATATATATATATATATATATATATATATATATATATATATATATATATATATATATATATATATATATATATATATATATATATATATATATATATATATATATATATATATATATATATATATATATATATATATATATATATATATATATATATATATATATATATATATATATATATATATATATATATATATATATATATATATATATATATATATATATATATATATATATATATATATATATATATATATATATATATATATATATATATATATATATATATATATATATATATATATATATATATATATATATATATATATATATATATATATATATATATATATATATATATATATATATATATATATATATATATATATATATATATATATATATATATATATATATATATATATATATATATATATATATATATATATATATATATATATATATATATATATATATATATATATATATATATATATATATATATATATATATATATATATATATATATATATATATATATATATATATATATATATATATATATATATATATATATATATATATATATATATATATATATATATATATATATATATATATATATATATATATATATATATATATATATATATATATATATATATATATATATATATATATATATATATATATATATATATATATATATATATATATATATATATATATATATATATATATATATATATATATATATATATATATATATATATATATATATATATATATATATATATATATATATATATATATATATATATATATATATATATATATATATATATATATATATATATATATATATATATATATATATATATATATATATATATATATATATATATATATATATATATATATATATATATATATATATATATATATATATATATATATATATATATATATATATATATATATATATATATATATATATATATATATATATATATATATATATATATATATATATATATATATATATATATATATATATATATATATATATATATATATATATATATATATATATATATATATATATATATATATATATATATATATATATATATATATATATATATATATATATATATATATATATATATATATATATATATATATATATATATATATATATATATATATATATATATATATATATATATATATATATATATATATATATATATATATATATATATATATATATATATATATATATATATATATATATATATATATATATATATATATATATATATATATATATATATATATATATATATATATATATATATATATATATATATATATATATATATATATATATATATATATATATATATATATATATATATATATATATATATATATATATATATATATATATATATATATATATATATATATATATATATATATATATATATATATATATATATATATATATATATATATATATATATATATATATATATATATATATATATATATATATATATATATATATATATATATATATATATATATATATATATATATATATATATATATATATATATATATATATATATATATATATATATATATATATATATATATATATATATATATATATATATATATATATATATATATATATATATATATATATATATATATATATATATATATATATATATATATATATATATATATATATATATATATATATATATATATTTTATATATAACAATAAATTATTAAGTAAATCATTAATAAATTGAATTAACAAAAGATATAAATACATAACTCATTTCAGCACAAGTTCAATCCAAATGGACCGGTCAAAAGTAAATCAATTTGAGTTTTCTTACCGATTAATAATTTTTTCTTTTGACCTCCTGATCCATTTTCAAAGTGAGCAAGGTTAACCCATGAACTATACTCACTTTTAGGGGTGGGTAGATGGACCCGGGTTCGCAGACCGGTCCGTAAGCCCGTGGATTTCGCGGATAACGGGCTCGTTTTTTTCAAATCCGTATGATTATGCCTAATTTTTGAGCCCGGGCTGTTAAGTTCGCCGACTTGGCAGATTTAATTCGCGGGCTCGCGGGCTAGTCCGCGAACTTCACATTTAATATTTTTAAATATTATGATTTTAATATTAAGTTGTGTATTTAATTTTTTAAAATTATTATGACATTAAAATTATATTTAGTTGATATATATTTGTCATTTGAATTATTTTTATGACATTTTGATGCTTTTATTATTAAAAATTTGGTACTATTATTTAAGTATTTGTAATTATTTTTATTTAAATATTTAAATATTTAGTATTTTAAACCATTTTAACTATTGATAAATTTTATATGATAAAATTTAGCATATAAATAAAAAATATTTTTTTTTCTAATTTTATGTATTTTTATTTTTAAAAAATTTATTTTTTGAACCATTATTTAGGCCCGCGGACCGGTCCGTTATCCGCAAATTTTGGCGGACCGGATACGAACTTAAAAAATAAGTCCATTTATTTTACGGACCGAACTTATCTGACCCGTATAAAACGCGGGTCTTACGGACCGAGCCTTAAACGGGCCAGACCAGTCCGTATAACCACCCCTACTCACTTTAACAACTTTAACGTTCTGATCTAAAATTTGTTTGTTTTCTATGGAAGGTACCATCATGTACAAGTCAGGTAGAAAGTTTTGAAAAACTACAACTACAATATAGAAAAATGCTGTGTGTAATGTAAATAATCCTTTCAGACTTACGTCACCCTTTCCCTTTTTTTTAGCTATTATTCTTTCATGACCCATTAGTTTGTTTTTGCTATTTTTCTTTATCCATTAGTTTAAATTTTAAAGTAGTCACTGTTATTTAGTAACTGAAATTATAACAAATAAAAAAAGGATATTTTTATGGTTGGTTATAACCTAATACAGAGAAGATTACAGTGCATTAAAAAATATAAATAAACCCAAAAAAACAATTTTAATTTTTAACTTAATAGTTAATACACCTCAGTTTTAAAAAAATCTAATATGTTAACAAAAACACAATTCTGAAGAACCTCTTCAAAAAATTGTTAATAAACAAAAGCTCCATTCTCCATAAATAAAGTAATAAACCTTCTATAGAAACTAAACAGGAAAACTTTTACCAAAAAAGAAAGAAAGAAAAACTACTTTTAACAAAATAAGTCTATAAAAAAATTGAAGCAAAAACACTATTTAAAAGAATTCCCTCATTTTTAAAGACGAATCAACTCGGTCCATTTTTGGAAGAATGGGTGACAACTCACTTTATATTGAGTGTTTATTATTCATTTTTTTGTTTAAGCATTTGACACTCTTTTTGGATAAAATTGTAAATACGTTGATGATATTTAACCCCAAAATAGAAAAAACCAAATGAATATAAGAAGGTTAGAAGAGTAGTAGGAATCTAATGAAAATTTTCTCTCTTTTTGTAAAAAACATTGGAAATCAGAATTCTGCAGCCATGGCTGTGGTTTTGTAGCCATAGCTGTGAGAATCTGGAATGCAATCAGGAGGCACTAGAGACTTGTAGTCATGGCTATGGATTTGCAGCCATAGTTATGAAAACCTGGAGTGCAATCAGGGAGAATCCGGAGACTTGCAGCCATGACTGTAAATTCATAGCTCGAGCCATGAATGCTGGAGAGCAAGGAAAGAGTCTAGAGAGTCACAATCATGATTGTGGATTCTACAACTATAATGCTAGGATTACTTAAGCATGAAGGACTTTCCACAGCCATGGTTGTAGACCACAACTGAAGCGGTGGGATTAAAAAATGGATTAATTCTCCTATTTTTGAGACCAATATAAAAGGGAAAACGAGGAGAGAGACGAACACATAGGAGAAAGCAGAGGAGAGCTCACGAATAGAGAAAAACAAAGTTGAAGAGAAGATCTCGAGGCTGGATCGCTTGGGAACAAGGATCAACTCCATTTCTTCGTCTTTTTCTTTGTAATTTCTTCTTCTCCTTTGATTCTGTAATGGCCCTCACCATGAGTGGCTAAATCTTTTGGGATTGGTTCCGGTGTAACTACTAACTCTTCTTTTTCTTGATTATATATGCATTTCATTCTCATTATTTGTGCATGATTCTTTTCCCAATGCTTATTTCGGTTTGATCACCCGTTATATGATTTTTTGATTTTTGAATCTTGTTGGAAAACATTTTCGAAAACCTGAACTAAATCTCACACCTAATCATCTCTTAATCTAGGAATAGACTGAATTTGGTTAGCCACCTTTGTTCAAGTTGTCGTTCTTAGTGCAAAGTGTTAATCTCAAAGCATAGAGGAATCATATTTAGGATTAATCACTTTAAGATTCAATTTTGAGGAATTTGGTTGAGTTACTAAATGAACGTGGAAGTAATGAAATTGAAATCATATTTGTTTAAGGAAGATATAAGAGTTAGCGAGTACACCTGAATCTAATCCACTCTTTATACAATTGTTCTTCTAGACTTTATTTTGTTGTTCTAATTCATTTTCATATTGAATCAACTCTCAATTATATTGATGTTATTTCATAAATCATTAAAATAGAAATTACTAATATAACAAATTCCTGAGAACGATACTAAACTAAATGAAGCTTGGTCCGCTTGCCAAGGGTGTTGATATAAATATTTCACCACTTTACTATCTCTATTAGTTAGTTAACCTTCTAGAATAGACACTATTATTAACCTTTACTCATTTATGAAGTTGAATCCCTTACTTCACAAGTCATGCAATAAGTAAGAACATTGCCACCAACAAACTAGTAAATGGTTTATAAGCAGCTTCACCTTATTCAGAATGTTACATACATAAACAATCAAACAGATGCATATTCACATTTCAGCCTAAAACTATAAACATTATACTCTAAAACAAGAAAATTGCATGATGTACTTAGACGCCCACGAATGCTCTACACTGTGAATCCCAGTGTTCCTTTATTTGCTTAACCCTCTCCACCCTCTCTGTCTGCAGCCTCTGCTCCCAGTATTCCTGGCAGCTGTAAAAGGATTGAATTTGTAAAACACTAGTTTCATCCATCTTTTCCTTTACCACCTCAAATAATGGAACAAAAATAGGATCATACCTTCGGCCTAACAGAATATTTAGTTCTTCCAAGTGCACAGCACCTTCATAAACTGCACCCTGCAATGAACAACAGTAGAATTAAGTATAAGTAGCCAATTATTTTAATTGGTTCGAATCCAGAAAACGAAAAGAATATAAAATGATTTTGCTAGCCAATTCTTAACAGCCTAAAGTTGTTCAGAACTAATGTGCCTAAAATATTGAAGAGAGCCTCCTTTAAAAATTGCTATTAATCACTCATCAGGCATCACAGAATTAAAAAAATAACCAAGGTCAAGAATGGAACAGGAAATGCACAAACTTGACCTTAACTTACTCGGCAGATCTAAATATTAGATGGTAAAACTAGCTTCAATGCTTGAATTCTAGCAAATTTCACATAAAATATGCTCTAAAAAGTTAACGGCAAGTAAAGATTTGAGTATGATCCTGATCTCATGAGAAAGGTTATTAACAGGTGATTGGTGAACATCCATTGGTCAGCTCTAATGACAAGCAAAGGGTGAATCTTGAGTAATTAACATGATGTATACACGTGTTTTAAAAGTTACGGAATCAATTAAAATGAAAATTTTCGCCCATGTTTTACACTCCAGTTACAATAATCAGGTTGTAGGGGAGCTTGCAACATAAATGTCACATATCTGGATTCTGGAAGCTTACCACACGACATAGAGGACATTTCTCTTTAGGTTCTGCAGCCTTAAGTCCATTAACAATAGATACTGATGCAGCCGAGCAAGCACACATATAGCAGAATATATGGCCACAAGTCAGAGAAACTGGATCAAACACTGTGTCCTGTCACAGAGGAGCCAATGAACAATATCAGAGGATAACAAAAGGAAGCAAAATATAGGACTCTGTCTCTGAAACATATTGTTTGAAGTTGAAAATCTAAGATGATAATGTTATTACTGTCTTTATTTTTTAAAGTCGAATGCTTTTCATTCAGAAAAGCAAAGCTGCTGGTGTATATTAGATAAGTGAAACCATATACAAATAAGATAGTTGATGAAAAAGTATCATTATTTTTGTTAGGAATAGAAGTCTACTTCAGTTTAAAATTGTAATGCATTTTCTTTGACTTGACTAGATCTTGCTTGCATTCTAGAAACAATAATATTCTAATATACTATGAATAAAACACTAAATTGAGACCAAATTCATCCAATCATGGGCAGTGAACCACTCACCAAGCATACTGAACAAGTTAAGTCAATGTCAACTTTGATAGAATCAAAGAGCTCACAAGTAAGTGACGGTTTCCCATCCTTAAATGTGAGAGAACATCCTTCGAAGAAAGCAGGTGCCTTCCTTGATTTGACCTTAGTTTCCCTTAAATTGATGTGGAAAGCCATAAGCTCACAAAGCCAGGGACTCTGAAGAATCTCCTTGTGCATACTCTGGACCTGTGACTTGAATAATTGCCCTTGCTTGGAATAATGAATCTGCAGTGACAGTAGTAGAAGGAACATACAACAAACACTTCTCATAAATTTTTCACCGAAATTGACTAAACTTACTAGTTACTATTAGCACAGCTACCAAATTAGAAGGATTTTTAAAAGCACATAACTTAAATTACATGATTTTGATATTATTCTTCATTCAAAATTAGAGTTTTTCTGCATTGATGTGAATTTGTTAACCTATATTTCCTCTGTGTTACGTAAACCGTCAATTTTAATTGGAGAGCAACGTCAAAATAGCAAAAGCATCTGACCAACTATATCTAAGTTTTGTCCTAATTAAAATTGATCTGAGAAGCAGAAAACATAGGCACACCTTATCATATTTCTTTAGTATTTTCCTAATTGCAATGGCATTTATGAGTGCATAAGTAACAAGATCTTTGCCTTCTTGAATCAGAGCAGTATGGTCCCCTTTCAATTTGCCTTTGATCCAGAAAAAATACTTTCTGAAGCCAGAAGCGAGATGTAGCTCCAGCAATTTCTGCGCACGCCGATTAAAGCACCCTACTACCTCTGACATTTCATTGAGAAGGGAAGGGAAGAAGGTCCCATCGCACACTAAATAAATATATTGCATTAGCCAAAGGATACATAGATGGAAATACATTCATGCATCAAATAACAAAAGCTGAAACATCTCTCTCAATAACAACAAAACAAGAGTCTCATTATATAAAAAAGAAAAAAAGCTTTGGAATTGGTTTATAGAAAAAGCAGAGAGAAGAGTCTCTTTTTCTCCCTCCATCTCTCTATTTATTCTATCTCCAGTTGATCGAGCTTATTATTAATAGTAAGTGAATGGATTGGTGTAGTGGTTAGTTACACTGTTGTCCCAGCCGTGAGGGTATCCCGAATTTGATCGGGACAGCCATGGCCGGACAAAAGAAAAAAAAGTTAAATTTTGAAACGAAAGGTAAAAGAAAAAGAACATTTTGTGACCTGGGCAATGATCGGGACAGGTTTTAGCGGCGAAGGGTCCATCAATGGTTTTCTGGGATGGACACTGTTTACGGCACTTTTTCAAGATCTTCTTGAGCTTCTTGAAGCCAACGCCAGGAAGCTTCTTCTCCTGGCCTTGCATGTATTCCTGGTATTTTTTGCAGAACTTCATGTTTTTTTTTTTTCCGATGAAGAAAGCAAAGTGAAGGAGTCGGAGAAAGAAGGTGGCGGGGATTGGGATGAGATGGATCGAAAATTTGGTCGTGTTTTTGTGGCGTCTCTTTATATCTGAATCCGTTGCCAAATGTTAAAGAAGAGATTGACGTGTGCAACTGCAAGTCATTATCCGAGAAAACGTCACCTTTTCCGTCTTATCTCGGCGAAAAAGTCAAAATATCGGATGTTGCTCTCCTCCTTTATACATGAACGGATCGCCACCCATATCTGATAATTTGTTAAATATTATGTTTTTTTGACGGCAGTTTGTTAAAATTTATTATAAATTATAAATTTTAATATGTTATAATCGATAAAAAAATATATATTTTTACATTCTCATTCAATTATAAATTATTATTAATCACTAGGATTAGCTTAATTATAATTATTATTAATCACTAGGATTAGCCCAATGGTTGGGAGGGAAAAGATCGAGATAGTTAGAAACATGAGGACCTAGATTCAATTCACATTACGGCCATCTTTATAATATTTTTTATTTTTATAAAAAAAAGTTATAAATTATTATTTTAGAAAAATAACTAAAAATATTTAATAATTATATTTAATTGGTTGAATATGTAAAATTTACATTGTTTGCATGACTATTAAACTAAAAAGATACATATTTTCATAACATTTTTTTTTAAAGATAACATCTTTTAAATTAAATCGTTATTCCTGTCTTGTATGTGTTTTTAGTCTTTATTATTAATAAAAAAATTGTGAATCGATATAAATTATGCTAACGTATAATTATCATTTATCAAGAAAAACAGTTTTGCTATATCTCTAACACGGTTTTCAATGAATAATTAACGAGTAAACTGTATCTGCAAAAGTATTGAAAAATATTTCAACAGATTTCGAATATATATATATATATAT